TTGATTATATAAGTGGAATACATTTTACAGCAAATGCGACGTAATATTTCCGAACGTTTAATTTTTAGAGGAGCATCTTCAAATATCAGCATCTTGTATCTCTAAATACTCGAGAGGAAGTGATCATCAAAGAATTGAAATCGATGGTAGATTTCGCGTTGTGGACGTCGCTTCAGGATGAAAGAGTGTCCGTAGCACCGTTGGAAGCTGTTGCAAAACACCTTGAAGATCTAGTCGTCGAAGAATCATCCAGGAAACACACGGAAAAATCAACCGAAGAAATCTCTCGATATCGAAACGATCGGAAACATTGGGCGGAAGCTGTTCTATCCGTGGTGTCGCCTCTTTTAGACAAAGTCGCGCTACCAGTCTGTTTAACGAGGGTTCTTGTCAAGCTGGTTCAACAGCATCCGCAGTCTTCTTTGGTCACAGCTATAATTCCAGCGATTACGAGGTGTCTCAAGCATACAGTGGATTTCGGCAAATCTCTGGACATGAGGAAATTGTTGCAAGTATTTATAGCTGCTCTGTATATTGCGGATGGAGAGCAAGCGATCAGAGATTATATCGCTTCGGTTCATGGACCTGGAAGTGACTGCCCCCATCCCAGGGTGCTTGCCAACTTAGTGTCCGTTTGCGTCGCAGCGATTTTTCACAGGTGAGACTTGGTCTTCTGTTCTCTTTATAGAGGACTTGTAAGTTAACTTTGCAAAGTTTTATTATGATCTTTTACAACGTTATTATTATTGTCGGTGAATTTTTGTAGGAAATTTCTGTATCTTGTAATTTCGATTGATTGACAGTGAAGTAAAATTTAACGAATGCTATAAATTGCTACTACTGTGAAGGCAAACGAGTAGATTAAAAATTAATACGATATTGATAGAACAAAATATCACGACAGTGTTTATTATGTGGAATGATTTTGTTTAAAAAAGACGACTAATTACACTTGGCGAGTACATCGTTGCAAAATGCGTGACTCGCCCTGCATTTTATCCACGCTTCATTAAAGCGTATCAAAGGCACGATCGTTCTGGAGTGGCTTGTTTGAAAGTGCGGAAACTGAACCCTTTCAGCAAAGAATGTGAGACTTTAGTTAACTACACTTCAGAACAATTTTGCGGAACATCTCGCACAGTTTGACGTCGGACGTGTTTTAATAACAGTTTTTCATTTTGCCTTGCTCCAAAATTTCAACCACAATGTAATGTGGTATATTGAAAAATATCGTCTTCACCTCTTTATCGCCAACAAGTCAAAAGAGATACATTCGAAAGTGAAGTTTTTTTATTTTTAACTTGATGCAACCTTTACCTTTACTTGTAAATATATTCGTTTGCATTTTGTATATATTGCCAGATGCAATTCAAAAGGGAAATAAATCGTGAAAGTCTGTACACTATGGCGCGACGTATCGAAAACATACAGAAAAAGGAGCTTTGACGTGAAATAAAATAACGTAACACGAGTCTTACTCGAATCATCGATCATCGTTCTAATTGCAGATTCGAAGTGGCTAATCGTTCTTTACCGGAAAAAGAAAAAACACCGACCTTGCCTCCGTTGGATTGTTATCTTTTGGTATTAAGTATCGCGTAAGTTCCAAGCATTTCATTATACATATTGTCACATGTACAATATTTTTTTTTTTTTTTTTTTTTAAATGTACGTATGCCTTTCTCGTTCTGTAAAATTTGAAGCAAGAGTTCACTATTCTTTTCCTTTCTAGATCAGAATATGCCGATTGGAGGCCCGAGTTTGGTGCTCTGTTGCAACCCGTGCCATTTCCAGAAGAAGCTTTCGCTGTGAAAGAGGTCCAACAATCGATATTAATGCGTGTGGTCAGTCGTTTAGCGAAAGACACAAGATGCGTTGTGCATCGCGTTCTACTTCCGGTTAGAGAGCCGAGACCTGGATGGATCCATATTGTCGCACCGTCTAGTCCAGATTGCCCTGATCAAGGAGAATTGTTTGGTGAAATGGTAATCTGTCATTCTCTACAGAGTGGAAATCAGAATGGGAATGAAATTGATATTATCTTTTCTCTTGGCATTCATCTATCAAGAAATGACACTATCTTTCATACATGTGTCACATAATCATGTAACGTTAACTTCTTGTTTCTCTTTAACTTCAGTTAACTACTTTATTGGCATGTTGCTGTCGAAGAAAGAAATTCATCAATTGGCTGATGAAACAAGTACGCGACGATTGTATATTACTGGCAGTGAGAGGTTGTGAAGCTGCTCAAGAGGCTCTCTGCTTAATGTTAGAATGGCATTTGTTGTCGAGTAAAGAAGCGAAATTGCAAATAGTCAGTGCGTTAGAGTCGACCACTTCAGGCAAGGAACGTTACGCTGCTCTTTGCCAAAGGCAGAGGAATTTGCAGCAATTGGTATGTAAATTGAATTAAGTTGCATAAGCATCTATCGATAATATTATTATAAATTTTTATTCTACTATATAATATAAATTTTCTCTTGTCTTTAATTGGATTAGCTGCGGAAAGGAGGTCCTAGACGATTGACGTTACCAGCTCGTGCTACAGATGCGGACGTCGCTCTTATTCTAAGCGGAAGGGCTCTTGGCAGCCTGGAATACCTCAGTTTGGCCTTTACCTCGGTGACTTCAGCTTGCGCCGAGCAGCTGATCAAATTACCAGCGTTGAGGCATCTGAACTTGTGGGCCACGCAGTTCGGTGACGCTGGCCTACAAATGATCAGCGAGCATCTACAGAAACTGCAGGTTCTGAATCTTTGTGAAACCCCCGTTTCTGATAAAGGAATTTCTACCTTGGCCTGTAAGTGAATATGAAACTTTGAAGAAAACCTATAGCTATTTCAACTTACGTGCGATGAACTTTTTATCTGTATATACCCTTCCAAGAAAAATTTTTATTTATTTCTATATACGCCGTTTCTTAATCAAACTCAATATTTATTCAACGTTTTCATTCGCAGCATTAACGAATTTAAGGAAACTGAATCTAAACAGCACGAAACTGTCCGTTCAGACATTCGAATCTCTGAAGAAGTGTTTGCCAGCTTTGCAAGAGTTCGATGTGAGATACACGGACGCTTGGTAGCCAGAGCTTTCGCCCTATATTCAGTCGAACAATTCCAACAACTCCAGTATCAAAGAGAAAAGACAAAGTTAAAAAAAAAACGAGAGTCGGACAAACGAGGAAAGAAAGATTCAGATAGTAAAACAATTCATCAAAGAATTTTGTGACATCTCGTGTATATATATATATATATATATATAT